ACACGGGCGCATAAGATTTTTGGCGGGGCAATTGCTAACTCTGCATCCAGAAAAGCTGGAAGGCTAAAATTTTGGGAGGATATTTCCTGTCCAAGTACAACTCAAATATTTCAAATTCAGCCCCAAGCTATGCGTGAAACTTACGTGAGGACTTATGAAAGTTCCTGCGGGAAAATTTGTAACTCGGCAAATAGAAAAGCTGGAAGGCTGAAACTTTAGGGGGATGTTCCCTGTCCAAGTATAACTTAAGTATTTCAAATTCAGCCTTGATAATTACGCGTGGTTCTTACGTACGGGCACTTAAAATTTTGACTGAATGTGCGACAGAGCAACTAGGTTACTTTTAAAGAACGATCATTAAATGGAAATTGTACATCTACTTTATGCAAAATTTATGTTGATTTATGCTAGTGATCGCAAGAGGTAGGTGTAAAGCAACAACCATTCATGCAGTTAATGAACTGAGTACCTCAAGTCCGGTGCAAAAACGCATAGTCGCACGGGCCCGCCCGGTGCGTTTCAGCCTGGGTTATGTACCAAGCACATGACATGTGTGTATGCTAATTTATGTGTGTATTGCTTGGCGATAGAATAAAATGTGAAATGCGGAATGTGAAACATAATATGGAAGGACCACAAAATTCTATTTTCTATTAGAGCGCGAATTCCAGGCTGTTATTACAACACTGTTTGCACTTCTGGTTTTTAATTAAAAGCATTTTCATTTGTGCCAATAAAAGTCCGGCTCTTCCTAATGTTTATTATTCCTAAGTCTTTCCGAAGTCAGAAGTTCAATATCCAGTTGTGCTTCTTTTAACCGCTGGAAAAAAAAGATAATTGAATTTTAGGGTTGCATCATCCATATTGTTCCATTCTACGGAATTAAGAAACTGAGTTGATTTCATTCCATTCGATTTTCCCCTAGACTTCACAACCATAAAGTTCCACTTGTTTTCATTTTTTTAATGGGAAAAACATACTTCCAAGGCTTCGTTATCTTTTCTCAAACTTTCTCAAACTTCTTAAAGTTCTTAAAGAGAGTCAAAGCTGCGCTCAATGCTCTAAATTATTCCAGTAACATTATTTACATGAATCTTAATACCAACTTTCTGGACAATCCTGACTTTTGAATATTTTTTTAATATTTAATGCTAATTTCGCATGTTATAATCTTGGCTAATTTATGATATTTTTGCCAATAAGGTTGTGGCACAATTGATTATTGTGTATGGGGACATTTTAGTATCAAAAAAGATTTTAATTTGTAATATTTCAAAAATTTATTAATGTTAGGATAGCGACGCTAATATCATTGACATTAGATGCCAACACTGACATTCGAGAAGCCTTGCTATACTATAATTTTTATCGGATTTCTCGCAAACTTCAGTACTTTATCAAGTCTTACGTTGACCGTTCTGCTAAAGTAAATAATTTAGCAATAAGTACAAAGCTTTTGCAAAACAGCGAATACTAGCTTCTCTTGGCCTGCTTTCACTGCACTTATCATGATCAATCTTGTTCTCCCAACAAGTAATGAACTGGAAATTGAGCCAAATTAAGCAATTCAGTTCCTGGACTCGTGCTCAGCAATGTTCTTGCTCGAATGCAGCAGTGAATGGGCCGATCCGAAAACCAACGCGTGCGGACGATTAGCTTCCCTTGTTGTCTCGTTTTTGTCCTCTTTTTTTTGAAAATGAAAGTACGGAAGAAGAAGAAAATGGAAGCATTTTGGTTAAGCCAAATGTTTTGTTATTCGAGAACCGCTCGGTGATTTATGAGCGGAGTTCGTGGATAACTGCTTCAAGACCAGTCAAAACTTGTCTTCTTTTGCTATATTTCATCGACTTCCACAGGTTGCGATTGGCTCGTCCGCACATTTTCTCAGCCCGATCATCATCCGGCTGTTCCGTTGTTTCATCTTGCTACTTTCGCATCTTGTTTAGTTTTTGTGTCATTCGTGAAGCATGTTGTGGGTTGTGGATTAATTATCCTCCGAATTTATCTAGAAAGAAAAAAAAAGGAACTGATTGACATGTGGATGCTGTATTGCAAGTTACTGAGTGAGATTTCATTTGCCGATTATTGTGAACAATGACCTGTGCTGAGGGACAGGAATAGAAAACTGGTAGGAAGAAGGGACGGAAGGAGAAGAACCGCTGTTTTTGCATTCAGTTGTTGCAAAAGAAGTGCATGCAAGAAAAAAAAATGCCACAAATTGAATTAGGAGCTGCAAAAATCATCCAGAAGGATACCGGTTGCGGCCGCAAGATGCTAATTCATATGGAAAAGAATGAAAACTGAAGAATTTGATAAATGAAAGACAATGCCTTGTTTTTTCTGGAGGCATAATAGAGTAGCAATGTTGTTGGGCAATAGGTCGAAGGTCCGGTTTTGTCGGAAGAGCAATCAATCATTCTACGACTCATTCCGATGGTAAATTAGTGCTAGCACATGCCAGGAAGTCAAATTTGCTATCAGCTTGCTTGTAAGTAACCCCCAGGAAAGGGAGACATCGGTAGCTTTGTCATCAAGTAGCTGCTACTAGCAATTGCTTACCACTAGACCTACTTCCCGAGTGCTTCCGCTTTCTCACTGAGGGCGGAATGCAGATGGGGTTTTGCCCTCGTATCTGAGATGATTTTTTTCTTTCCAAACGCTCAAGTTTCTGCTGAATTG